AAAAACCCCTCAAAGCGGTTAACAACACATTAAACATCAACGTATACATTCAAGGTAACATACTGGTAATTAGCAGGAAACTAAAATATTATCTCAAAGATTTCAAAACCAAACATTGCAAAGGAGGTCAACTACAGACTGCCCATTTAACACAGAAAAGCTAACAAAAGAAATCAAAAGAAAACATTACTGAAGGGAGTCAAGTATAAAATGCACATTTAAAACAGCATAGTTAGCAAGAGACTAAAATATGATCCTAAGCATAGAACACATCTTCTGGGCAATGGCCGTGGAAGCTCAGGCTCAATGACCTTGATCTGCACTCAGAGACAGCCAGGATACCATCAAAATCACTGCAAGTCATGCTCAATCTCCTCATCTCTTTTAAAAGCTTTTAGCTGCTTATATCCGTCACATTTCTGATTAATACAAGCACATTTCTGAAAATCAGCTGGAAAGAAAAATTGGCCAAAATCCATCAGAAAAACATGATTATCCTCAAATTCAAGTTACGGCTGGAGTCAGAATGGATGGGCGAGGGCCAGAGTTAAGGAACATCATAAGCAGCATTAAAGGACAGTACGAACTCTGAACAATTGTAATTCACAGCAAACCTTGGGCAGGCTCCTTCTGGTCTCATCCCACACACCAGGCTGGTATGAAGCCCTGGCGGAGCTGGCGAACCCCTGGTCGCTTATTGAGGCAGCTTAGTAGGCTGCTTTCTCACTCCACTTCTGGCAGATGAAAAAGATGATCCCAGATGCCAGCAGGATGGCAGCCACAACACCAAAAATGGCTCCCACAATGAGCCCCAGGTTGACAGCTCCTCCCAGGCCATGTCCAGATGCTCCTTTGGGCTGTCATGCTCCATGTGGCACCGGTAGCAGTCCTTCTCCTTGGGGTTGATCTTGACACTAAGCAAGACATCATAGGTCCCATCAGAGTTGGGGGCGACCACTCCTCGAGAGGTGCCCTCCTGCCCGACCTCCCTGACCTTCATCCAGTTGGCATCAGTCTCCTTGGCGTAGAAGCTGAGGACTCCATGCTGTCAGTCTGCCTCCCTGGTCACCTTCGCCACCGGAGCCACTGTGCTTTGCAGAGTCTCCTTCCTGTGGTCCAGGTATCTCTGCAGCCACTCAATGCAAGTCTCCGCCAGACAGGCTTTCCGGTGATGGTTCTGGGCCAATTCAGGAGCCCACTTCCTCTTGCTCACTTGGGCCTCCATATCAGCTGCCATCCAGGTGAGGGTCTCCTTGTCAAAGCTGATAAAGTCCCTTCCGTCATAGCCGTACTGCCATTGCCCTCCGTTGCTCCTGCCTGGGCTCCACTCACAGCTGCACATATGACTGAAGAGTTGTAGCAATTCCACAGAATCTGCATATTTGCCCTGAACATAAGCCCAGTGCCCTGAATCTCATGAGTTTGCCTGTGCCAGTACTGAGGATTCACCTTTCCTGCCTTCCTTATCCCTTGGTGTCACTGTCGTACTGAAGAAATTGCTGGTCATCCACGTACCCGACAACAATGAACTGAGGCAGCCCCTGACCAGGCACTGATACAGCTATGAAGATAAAGGTAAAGGTAAAGGACTCCTGGATGGTTAAGTCCAGTCAAAGGCGACTATGGAGTTGGGGCGCCCATCTCACTTTCAGCCCAAGGGAGCTGGTGTTTGTCCACAGACAGCTTTCCGGGTCATGTGGCCAGCAGGACTCAACTGCTTCTGGCACAACGGGGCACCGTAACAGAAACCAGAGCACATGGAAATGCCCTTTACCTTCCCGCTGCAGTGATACCTATTTATCTACTTGCACTGGTGTGCTTTCAAACTGCTCGGTTGGCAGGAGCTGGGACAGAGCAACAGGAGCTCACTCCGTCGTGGGGATTCAAACTGCCGACCTTCTGATCAGCAAGCCCAAGAGGCTCAGTGGTTTAGACCACAGCGGCACCCGCATCTACAGCTATGAAGAAATAGCACAGGGAGTGCAAGGTGGCACCAGCACATTCCTGGAGCAGCAGGTGGGCAGCTGCCCACAGGATGGAGGGGCAATGGAGGACCCCCATCTTGACAAAAACAACATCTGTCTGAGTCCCCAGTGAGGTCCTTCTCCCTCCACTCACTCTGACTAATAATAATAATAATTTATTTCTACCTTGCCCATCTGACTGGGAAGCTTCCAACATCTGTAAAAATGTAATAAAACATTAAACTTTTTTTAAAAAAACCTTCTCTATACAGGGCTACCTTCAGATAACTTCTAAAGGTTGTCTAGTTCCTTAACTCTTTGGCTCGGGAGTCGCAAAACTCCCTACCCTCCAACATTTCTTCTTTGAAAATAGGGACATCCTAAAGAAAAGAGGGACATTCCAGGATCAAATCTGAAACCGTGATGGCTTCTGTAAATCAGTCCCTGAAAAATAGGGACACTTGGAAGATTTGTGACAGGTCTGAGCGTTTTGTTCATTAATTAATTAATTATACTTACACCCCCATTTCCCCCAAAGAGTTTAAGGGGCACATATAGTTCTCCCCACTCAACATTTCCTCCCCACAACAACCGTGTGAGAAAGGTAAGGGCAAGAGAGACAGGGTCACCTAATGAGGTTTTGAATTATGGCCTCCCAGTTTTAGTGGTGACTGCTGAACCACTGTACTACGATGACCTATGTGGAATATCTATATTTTGCCTACCTGTAGAAAACCACCATCTGTGCCTGTCAAACTTTAGTTTCGTAACCTAGTAACCACAAGATCACAATGCACTGATATTTCAGATTTGCCCCAGTCCAATCTGGGGTGATCCCAGGGTTTGACGCAACCTGGATCTGGACACATAACCAGTGAAATGCCCTCTCCTTATTCCAGTCTCCCTCAACCTCATGTTTCCTTCCAGATGTTGTTGCTGGACTCCAACTCCCATCAGCCCCCAGCCAGCCTGATGAACAGTCAAGGATGATGGGAGTTGATGTCTAGAGGTTGGACACCAGAGGTTAGAAGAGGGTATTTTACATGTGCAATGGGCTCAAATGGAGTTGTTTTGATTGTTATCTGAGAGCCTCGCTCCATGGGAGGTCTTAGAGGTGGCAATTGATGACTCCCTGCTTGTGAAATGCTCTTCCCAGGCAGACTTGCCTGGCACCATCATTATATTTATTTATTTATACAAATATTTAAATAGCACTATGTCACATGTCCTGCCAACCTAGCAGTTCGAAAGCACACCAGTGCAAGTAGATAAATAGGTACCACTCCGGCGGGAAGGTAAATGGCGTTTCCGTGCGTTGCTCTGGTTCACCAGAAGCGGCTTAGTCATGATGGCCACATGACCCGGAAGCTGTACGCCAGCTCCCTCGGCCAATAAAGCGAGATGAGCGCCGCAACCCCAGAGTCGTTCACGACTGGACCTAATGGTCAGGGGTTCCTTTATGTTACATGTAGTTTATAGCAGTAAATCATAAATCCATAAAAACCTTACAAGAAGATTAAAAACAGAGATCAATTCAGGCACCAGTAAAAAAAAACCCAACAACATTTCTTTCCCACCAGGCCATTGGCTTTTAATTACCTGCACCCTCATTGAGTATGCAGAGTGTTTAAACCCTGCCTTTTAAAAATAGGATGGCTTTTAGATTTTTCTAAAGGCTACTTTTATGTGTTTATTTATTGTTGTGAGTCACTCTGAGCTGCTTTTGTAAGAAAGTGACAAATAAGTTTAGTAAGTATTACTACTACTACTAATTTCAGTGTTGGGTGAAGATGTTTTTATTTTCCCAGGCATTTTGAGTTTTGTAATTTGATTATTGTTTCATAATCTCTGTTGTTTCTTTAGCTTCTTTGTTTGATGGTTTATTTTAGTATGAGCTGTTTATTCTATGATTGGAATGGTTGTTTTAATTATGTGGGCTGTATCCTGCCCTGCTTGTTTCTGTATTGGTGAAGGACAGGGTGTGTATGTGTTTATTACAGTGTCCAACCCCCTCCCCCATTTTAAATTCTTACAGCAAAAAGCTTTGGCTTCTGCTGCCATCATTTGCTCTCATATAAGAGCTCGGATGCACCTTCGTTAACTGAAGCCAAGCAATGCAGCAGCAGCCAAAAACACGAATGCAATTCAAAGCTGCTTTAGTTGAGAAGGTCCCTTCAAACTCTACAATTCTATGATTCTGTCCTCTAGGTTGAGACCATGCAGTATTGATATGTTCAGTGTGTACATTCCAGAGGCAGTGTGGTGCAGTGGTTAGAGGGCTGGAAAAGGACTTGGGAGACCAGGGTCTGAATCCTTACTGAGCCATGAAACTCATTGGGCCAGTCACAGTCTCTCATCCTTAAGCTACCTTGCAGAGTTGTAAGGATAACATGAGGAGCAGGAGAACGGTGTGTGCCACCTTGAACTCCTTGGATGGAAGATGGATTATAAATCTACAGTCGTACCTCGGAAGTCAAACAGAATCCGTTCTGGAAGTCTGTTCAAATTCCAAAGCATGGCTTCTGATTGGCTGCAGGAAACTCCTGCAGCCAATCGGAAGCTGCGGAAGCCCCGTTGGACGTTCGGGTTCCAAAAGAATTTTTGCAAAACTGGAACAATCACTTCTGGGTTTTGATCATTCAGGAGCTGGAATGTTCAGCTCCCAAGGCGTTCGGGAGCCGAGGTACGACTGTATTTAACAAATAAATAATAAATAATAATAAACTAACCTCAGTGCTTTCTGATGCTTTCATTGCAGTGGTACCTCTGGTTGCAAACAGGATCCGTTCTGGAGGCCCATTCGCAACATGAAAAGAGCGCAACCTGAAGCGCCGTATCTGCACAGGTGCATGGCGCGATTTGGCACTTGTATGCATGCGTGAAGCACGAGCAGAGAGACCCAGAAGTAACCCTTTCTGGTACTTCTGGGTCACCGTGAGATGTAACCTGAAGCAACGTAACATGAAGCAAACATAAGATGAGGTATGACTGTACTTTCATCTCTCTCTCTCTCTCTCTCTTGCTCTTTCTCTCTCTATATTGGCACAATTGGTCAGTGAATCTGGCCCTTAACCAGAAGGTTGGTGGTTTGAGCCCACCAAGGGACAGCTGTGGTTAGGATTCCTGCATCGCAGGGGGTTGGACTAGATGACCCTCAGGGTCCCTTCCAACTCCACAATTCTGTGATTCTATTATTCTGTGAAATAACTGAGGTGTGTGCAATCCATCCATCCACCCAGTCTGAATTCTGCTTCCCTCTTCCATCAAACTCTCTCACTTTGAGAAGGAATCTTCAAGTTCAAACTAATTTCCAAGTACTGGTTATTGGCTGTAATAAAGAGATCAATTGATTACCATTGCTACTGTTTGGTCGTCATTCCAAAATCCCCCCCTTTGCTTTCTCCTTGTTGTATCTCAAGGGGTGGGGAGTATGTAACCCCTCCAAGAGACTGTTGTGCTCCCATAAGTCCCAGCCACTGTAGTCACATGGTCTGGGATGATGGGAATTGTAGCGCTGTGACATATTCATATGGATGGCTACAGGCACGCGACCCGGATGCATCTTCATTAATGTTGTTTGCAAAGAGTGTTTTGCATTTTTCCATACTAGGAGATAAACAATGACCTCACCTGGTGATAAGGGCAGAAATGCTTTTTGCCGCGTATCTGCTTGTAGATGCATTCCTTCAGCTTTTGCAACCAGCTTCCCACGTAGCCCACGAGCACAGCACCGATTCGTGCTGAGTCAACAACATCACCCATCCCCTTTAGGCAAGTCAGTGCAGACAATGCATTTCTTATGCCTCTGAGTTTGCACAATGATTAATTAAGCCCAGCTGAACAGTGTTCCCAATCAGCCAACAATATCCGCTGTGGCATTTTTGGGTGAGGATATTTACCTTGCCCGAATCAACTCCCAGACAGGACGTACCGGACTCTGAATTAGTAAAACAAGAGGAAGAGACAGGAAGCAGATTTCTATTGAATGCTGACTGGTGTGGATGATTTGCCTGAACTTCTTTCCAGAATGGAAACAATGATGGATTGAATTGATTAAAAATCCTAGCACTGGAACAGATCGTCTACAATTGTTCTGTTCCTCGGGACTGGGGACAAAATGAAACTCTAGCTAGCACACCAATCCCACCACTAGTGAACATGCGAGGACATAATGTTTGAATTGGACCTCTCTGTGTTCTACCAATGCACTTACACTCGCGTCATGCAGCTGATTTCCCAGATAACGTCTGCTTTAAGGGAATATGAAAAAAGGGTTATAAATAGGTAAAAATCTAATATTATTACTTTTAAAGGATTTGCTGAACCAACAGATTGAAGTGGAATACAAAAAAGGGAGGTATGAGGAGGTCCGGGAAATAAGTCAAAGAAAAATAAGTAATGGAAAAATCTGTGTGTTTTTAACTATTTTTATTTTGTATTTTTGTTTTGTTTTTTTCATTTTTATTGTAATATTTTAAAAAATCTTAATAAATATCTTATATATATATATAAAAAGGAAACCCAAGCTTGACCTGCATTGCATTGGCCACAAAATATTTCGCCTTTGCAGGGCCGGCACCACCATTCGACTTCAGGCGTCAAACGTTGATGGGTAACAGCATTTGATTTTTTTTGTAAATTTGTAACAAATTTAACATATAAAAAACATAAAACAAAACACCTTGCAATACTAAAAGAAAAAAAAGAAAAAAGTAAAAACAGTCATTACTTTCCGAAATCCAAGTTAACTTTCATTGTAGTCTGACTTCCTCAATTCCGCCCTAACTGAATTTCATTGTATCTCCTTTGTAGCAGTTCTCCAAAATCCTTTTTCTAATACAATTAACTCCTTCAACTAACTATCTTCATCTCCTTTCTTTTTTGACTTAAATCCATATTACTATACAACATTCTTGTTCCAGTCCTAGGCCTATCAGATATTTTCAAGTATCTTCTAACTATCTTATATTACAATATTTAGCTAGATAATCTTTAAATTTCTTCCAGTCTTCTTGGTATTCCTCTTCTTTCTGATCGCGGATTCTTCCAGTCAAGTCTGCCAGCTCCAAAAACTCCAACATCTTCATCTGCCATTCGTCTACCGTTGGTATTTCTTGAGATTTCAATTTTTTTGCTAATAGCGGTCTTGCCACTGTAGTGGCATACAAAAATAATCTAACATCTTTTTTTGGGCAATTCCAATCCTATTATTCCAAGTAAAAAGGCTTCTGGTTTCTTAACAAATGTATTTTTCAACATTTTTAAAAACTCATTATATATCTTTTCCCAGAAGTCTTTCACTTTAGGACACGTCCACCACATATGATAGAAAGTACCTTCTTTTTCTTTGCATTTCCAACATAAATTCATTTGTATGATACATCTTTGCTAATTTTACCAGGGTTAAGTACCATCTATACATCATTTTCATAATATTTTCTTTTAATACAGTACATGCAGTAAACTTAACCCCTTTCTTGATGGGTAACAGCATTTGAGCTGGTGCCACACCACAGCACCAAATGTTTGTCTGCTGTTAGCAGTGGTGCACTTTGGGTTCTCAAATTTTAGCGGCACCCCGTCTGACGATAAAATTGTGTGCCCCTCTACCTCTTGCGTTCTGTTCTATGGCATTGTTGTGGCACCCCCTACAGCATGGCGCCCAGTGTGGACAAACCAGTTGCGCTACTCTGAAACCACTTCTGATTTTAGCCTTCATGCGTATGATATAGAACAAACATCCACAAGTATTTGAAACCTGACAAGGTTTTCATCACTGAGGGTTGTCTCCAACTGAGTCCTAGGCAGAGCAGACCCATTGGAAATAATGAACCTAAGCTAGGCAAGCTCATTAATTCCAAAGGTTCTACTCAGAGTAGGACGTACAATGTCTACAAACCAGGGTTGTTGTTTTATTTTTCAGATGGTGGCATTTCTCCACTTCATTTAAAGCAGTGGTTGACATCCAAGCGTTGGTACATTAGCTTTCTAAATATTTTAAGGAATTGCCAGTCAATTCATAGGGTTTCTGAAATCACCAGAGACTTAACCAAGAGCTTTCAGTTAGCCTTGAGATTTACTGGTATATGCTGAGATTTTCCACTGGCTTTCCTAAAAAATAATAATAGAAAGGCAATAAGCATGAATCTGCGTGGCTTCAGTGAAAACAGGATGCTTGCTAGATTAGATTGGCCATTGGCCTGATCCAGCCTAGCTCTCCTAATGTTCTTAAGCATGAAGCATTATCACATGGCCCCTAGAGCATTGGAGAAGGGAGAGCAAGGCTCAGGGAATTACTAAAAAAAACCCAAAGCTTACTCAGAGACATTGGAAAATTATTGTAGACTATCTTAACTCATAATATTGATGTGAGGCTAAAAGACGGAAGGACCATTTAAACGCTCCTGATCTCATTAGAGGAAGAGGAGTATAAATATCAATGTAAGAAGCGGAAGAGGAGTATAAATATTCAAATAACCATGTCAACATTCCTTATGGGAAATGAATTGGTCAGAGCAATATTCAGTTGCTAAATGCCCATATGATCTAGGCTTAACATCCAGCAGCATGCTAATTGACAGGGCATTTAAGCCCTGTAAACCAGCAAACAATCTTAATTTGCTCTCAGTTCAGATACAATCTTTACTCTGGCACATTTAAATGTTCTTCCAACAATGGCGGTGAAGGAAAATTCCATATTATCAACATAAATGCCTCTGTGAATCTGGAGAGGTAGAATCAATATCTTCTGTTCTTCTACATTGCTCTCTTTATCGTGATATACATAAGATTTTTAATGAACTCATTTTTAATTGAAATTCCCAAAATGACTGGATGCATTTTGTGCTTTTAAAAAAACTCCTTTCAGATCAAAACACACATCTCCTCCAGGATGGCTAAAGGTTCTACTGCTCCCTTAAAAACTCACCACGGACTAATTTTAGTAAACTTATAATTTTACTTTCCATGTCTGATGTTCTATAGCATGAAACACTTCTTAGTCACTTTATTGTAAAGGTAAAGGGACCCCTGACCGTTAGGTCCAGTCACAGGTGACTCTGGGGTTGCGGCACTCATCTCGCTTTATTGGCCGAGGGAGCCGGCGTACAGCTTCTGGGTCATGTGGCCAGCAGGACTAAGCCACTTCTGGCGAACCAGAGCAGCTCTCGGAAACGCCATTTACCTTCCCGGTACCTACTGATCTACTTGCACTTTGACGTGCTTTTGAACTGCTAGGTTGGCAGGAGCAGGGACCGAGCAACGGGAGCTCACCCCGTCGTGGGGATTCAAACTGCCGACCTTCTGGTCAGCAAACCCTAGGCTCTGTGGGTTAGACCACAGCGCCACCCGTTATTGTAGTGGTTCCCTATTTTGCTTTGTTTGGTGTTATTGTTGTGGGTTTGTGGGTTCAGTCTGGATGATGCCCTCTTTCAATTCTTGGGGTCCTCTGCTCAAAGAGGTTTAGAATCTAATAGGGGAAGTTGACAAATGGGTCAGACAAGTTTCTCTGTAAGACAATGATCTCAACTGGCCACTTCAATGTCCTCATCAGCATCCCAAAAGAATGAGCCAGGTTGCTGAAAGTACAACTAAGTGATGGTTACCTCTAGCCAAGGCACATCCAACTCTCAAGAGATGATGATCTCTTCCCAGTATAAAAGAACCTGGCTGTAACTACCCACAGTTGTTGAGGTTTTCTTGGGGTTGGGGCAGAGTTGTTCAGCTTTTGGGGGAGGGAGGCACTGAAGCCTACTAACGTTTCCACAATCGTCGGCAGCATACGACAACATAGTGCACAATTTATGCGATGGTAGGACAAAGAGATGGTGGCGGGGGCAGAGACAGGAATTCAACAATTCCCCCCAAGATCAATATTTAGCCTGCGATCGGCAGTGGTCAACCGCGATCTTCAGGGAATCTACCTGTTGATCACAGTCGACCGGTTGGACATTGCTGCTCTAGCCTAATGGCTCAGCTGATAGGTAGTGGAATAATAGCCAAGTCACGTGGCTGAACTGAGCTGGAATCAGGCTGGAAGCCGGAGGCACAGAGATGGGCTTGTTCTATGTTGCACCCAAAGCTGTGACCAATAAAGAAGCAAAATCCG